CAATGAGCCCGATGATGTTCTTCACAGTAAATCCTACTCAGATTCAGTGTCTGTGCACGATTAACTCCACGGTTTTGAAATGTCTCTGAAATTACCTACTTTGTGAGCACTGACATAGATACAGCAACGGGTGTTATTGACTCCAGTTAGATTAACAGTGTTATTTTTAAGTATTTGCAGTTAAAAGGGCATTGAAACATCATATTGTCTCAAAACATATTGATTTGGATAGGTTTTAAAAAAAAATGTTAGAAAGATGACCAGTTGGGTGGAGCTACACACCCAGAATAGAAGTCGGGGCCCCCAGTAAAATGATCTCCGTTCATGCCCCTGGAAGGTATTTTAGGTAAAAGGCTCACTAAGAAACACTGATATTCTCTTCCATTATCTTAACCTTTCCTTATGAGCCTTCTTTCTACCTGTGCATCTGTCCCGTTCCTTTCCTGTCCTTGTCCTCATTTTTCTTTTTCTTCTTTCTTATGATCTGCATTTGACTTCATTTTCCCATGTGAATGTCTAAAATGCTGCTCTTCCCCCTCCTCTGTCCAGGGTACGCCCTCCTCCCAGCGGGTAAAGCAGACAACCTCTCAGACTCGAGTCACAGCGAGATCTCCTCCCGCTCCAGTATCTGCTCAGTTGACTCTGTGCCGGCACCTGGGTCTGACGAGCGGTGTAATAGCAGCAACAGGACCTGTACTACTGCTACTATTAATACTATTAATACTACAGCTACTATTGCTACAACGGCTGCTGGGACTATTGAGAGCACAGCAGCAACACACACGCACATAAACGCGGATTACAACCAGCCCAGCACAAGGTAATCGCCTTCAGTACAGTTCAGTTTGTGTAATTTGACTCCTAATAGGGAACAGCGGGGATTTTTGGGGTGTATACTTGCAATGCCAAGAGACAACATATGCTTATATGCACAGTAACAGGGTACAGCCAGCTTCTCCCTGCAAAACAGTAGCATTATGGAAGTAAGACATGGAAACAATCTGTACTGACCAATCACATCCTATCTTTACAAGAAATGAGATAATTGTGGTCTGAGTGCAGGATCCTGTGTTTGACACACCCTAAAAGAAAAATAAGGTTCTAAACCCTGCATGCGTAGAATATATGTGATCATACTTCAAAATACTTTCATGTTCTATTTTGTTAGTATAAGAGTTTGATAAAGGCCAGTTGGGGGGGTCAACATGTGCACTTCAGAGAGGATTAAAATCAATGATAAATACATTTATTAGGGAAATAAATCCTGTCCAAATGGAGCTGTAGTCAGTTAAAGGACGTTAATAATTCATTAAGATGGAGACGAGATGCGTGCATGCCCCTCTTGTGAACCCGTACACTTTTTATTTACCTCATACCACACCTACATGAGAGTTATGACATGGGAAGTCACAGAAGGTTTGAGATGATTCTTTGTGGCCCAGATACTTAACAAGCATCAGACAACCAGAACAAACACCTGCTGTGAAAACCAGAAACCTTCCCAAAGGCCAACCTGAACACAAAGACACCACACGTCCTCTCCCAGCTGGATTCCAGTTGAGTCCTTTCCTCATTAAAACATAGAGAACAGGATCTCGTATACAATATACAGGCCAGGTTTTTATTAGCATCCCACATTCACTGCCTGATTCTTTCCTCCTGCTGTCAGTTAACATTTCCTGCAGGAGGCTTTTCAATTGGGACGAGTGAACAACACACCTTTTTTTTTATTGTTTGCTGTTTGTTTATTGTTCCTCCATGATCAGACCAGTCTGTCTCATAAAGAAGAGACAGTGAAATATCACTGGATACACTAATCTGTTTGCCTCCCTGGTATTATTTTACCTTGACGGCCTTGCTGTTTAACTGTTTTATGAAATATGGCTTGGTTTCACCGAGTGGCTTGTTTGTCCAGTAAAACCGTGTTAGTGAATCAACCTGCTGGTGTATGAAAAACAGCTCAGGAGCAAAAACCATTTTAAAAGTTTTTTTTGATGTTGTTTTTAGACACAGGCATAGAAATCTATCACACACTGCGACTTCATATGGAGCAGGTGTACAGATGAGGCTTAGTATTCACAGTAACAGGCTGAGCAACAAAAAGCATGTGAAGAATCTGCACCATAGCTCATCTAGATGTGAATAATAACTCACCTCGGTGGAAAGTTGGACAACATGGCTCATCTGTTTTCCTTTGTCTTTGTTTGGCGGTGATTTGTCTCCGACTCACACGCTAGCAGCCTCCTCTGCCCTCGTCTCCCTCTCCTCATTGTCAGGTCGCTGTAATACGACACAGCAGTTATGTGATGCACTTGTCACTTCCCCTCCTTCTGTTTCATTCCTACAGTTGCATATTGGCTTCAAAGGGGACAAAGTGTCATCGGTGTGAATACACAGGAGATTCACTGCAAATTTTCTACCTGTTCATTATTTCTCTTTGTCTCTTTTATCTGCAGTAGTTCTTCATCGTTAGCACGGGGACAGGTGACGCGAGCCTCCACGTTTACCTCTTCCATCTCGACAGAGGAGCTGACCCCGGACCACACCTCTCTGGACTCAGTGGTGGACAGTGGCCGCGGCAGCTGGACGTCCTGCTCCTCCAACTCTCACGACTCCTTCCAGAGCCTCCCCGCCTCCTCCTGCCGACCCTGGGACCATGGCATCAAGCAGCACTCCAGAGTGTCCAGCTCGGAGTTGTCCAGTCAGTCGCGGCAGAGCTGGGCGTCCTCCAGTTCACTGTCAGACACCTACGAGGGGAATTATGGGACAATAAAGCGACGAAACACCTCGGAGAACCCCTCCTCGCCATCCAACGAGGAAGGAGGGCAAAGCACAGACCCTGCCTACAAAACGGTGACATCAAGCACAGAGAAGGGCCTGATAGGTGAGGGCTCAGGGTGCAGCTTTGATTCCCTGTAAACACATCTGGGAGCGTCCACTGGAGGCTCTGCTAGTGTCCAGATAGTTACAGTAGAAACTCAAGGCTTTGTTTGTAAAGCTACACAGTGTAACAGTGACACGGTTTTATACAGCTACACGAAGACACCAGCTTTGGTTTAAGCTTTCTTGATACTGAATCAAAACAGTTGTTGACATTTTATGTCACACATCTGCAGTAAATTAGGTTGAGTCTGCTCTTTGTTTCAGTGGAGTTACTTCTGCTTTCTGTCATTTGACGTAGTGAACAGCTGGCAAACGCTGCACTTTGGGATCTTAGCCCAAGAACTAAGACACGCCAGGCAGGTCTTGTTGTTGTTGCTGTTGGCTCTCTGTCTGACAGGAGTTATGGAGCATCCTCCACTGATTGGCAACAGGCAAAGTGTACATTTGTCTTTTGCATCCCCTTGCTGACTGTACAGTTTGCTAGTTTATAAAGGTTCTTTTGACTTTTTTGGACAGTTTTGGAATTTAGAGTTTAAAGGATGTTGAGGAGGAGTTAAGACGTCGGTTAATCTATTAGCAGATCAACTGCTTCTAGTTTCTTATGTTTAGGTGTTTGCTCTGTTTTACGTCTTGTGTCAATGTAATGTTTTTAGGTTTTGGACTGTTGGTCAGATAGAACAAGTATCTTGGGTTTTAAGAAATTACAACGAGCATTTTTTATTATTTTCTGATGTTTAAGAACCAGAGGAATAATTGGTTAGTCTGGTAAATAACTGGCAGCTCATCCAATAATGAAAGTAGTTATTACTTGCAGCTGTCGTGCTGTCTGTATCTGCTGCAGCCGCCCATCTCATTGGTTGTGTATGTTTTTTTTCCGACACATTTTGGTGCATGTATAGTTGTATATTGTGTTGGTGAAACATCACGTTGATTTAATTTTCCCATTATTTTCTTTTGTTACTCCCCTCCCCTCCCTTTTTCTTTCTCCTTCCACACCTCCTTTTCTGGTTATGTCTTCATCCTCCATCACTCCTCATCCCTCACTCCCCTCCTTCTTTGCTCCATCCCTCTTTTCTTTTGACCTACACCTTCATCCAGTGTACTGTATCACCTCCCCCACCAAGGATGAGCATTACCGAGCTCCCCCTCCCACCCCTCCAGGCTACCAGGGTCTGGCTCTGGGGGCTCTCACAGACGGAGTAGTCGGTGGGCCAGGAGGTCTCCTCCCTAGGCCTCCTCACCTCAGACCTCCGGACTACAGCGTGGCCCTGCAGAGAAGCAAACTCCTGCAGAGCCCCGGAGCAGCAGGCGGTTTGGCTGAGGCACGGAGGCTGGCTGGTAACCATCTCCTCCACACAGCTGGCTCCACGCAGGGCCACTCCAGACCAGCCAGCGTCTGCCTCCCGCCACAGGAGCTGGCTGATAGCGACGATGGTACGTCCTCGTAGGAAGCTGAAATGATAAAGCACCACACTGAATTTTAGAGACTGACTCTTAAGCAACATTTTAAAAAGTATACCAGTGGTATAACAGAATGGGACCGTGGCAAAGACAAAATCTGGATGAAAATAGGTTTGAACTGATAGACCTCATCTCAGTATGGAGTTTCGATAACTGTGTGCAAGTACTGAAACACACTGGTATAATATACTTTAGTAAATTATTGTAGGCCATATCATACTTTAATACTTTGGCTGTGAGACAGGTGTTAAAACGTTTTGTATGGAGCATCTAAAAAAGTCTTTAAACTTTGTGAACCATGTAAAATGTCTTAATTGTAGCACTGTCCCTCCTGCTTGTTCCCCGCCAAACACTGTCGTCTGCTCTCTTTTCCAGATGGACAAGTGTCGGCGGTGTAAAGATGCTCTCATGCACACACACACATTCTTATACACAGACTGAGTCCTGCTGATCAGGCGTTGGACTAAGCCAACAGCCTGCCGTCACCATGTGCCAGCCCACAGCCCTGTGTGGCATCGCTCTGGACCGTAATGCACCTCTGGACCACTCTGCTGGGTCATGTGACCTCTCTCCACCACCCAGACCTCGTACAATCATCTGTTTTTAAACCCATGCCAGAAAACTGAGAAGAAAAGAAAGGTTTTAAAAACTTGTGAACAAAGCAGGGACAATGATGGGACAGAGTCGCATCACAGGGGACGGACGTCACAATTGACAAACTACAGGAATGAGTGACAGTAACGATGCCACATGAGAAGTCAGCCTCGTTGGAAACAGATCTCCGTGTACCTCACGTTGCTTTTTACAGTTTTAACATTTTGTACAGTGATTTTTTTTTTCCTTCTTTTCATTTGCATCTCTAAGCTTTGTAAAGTTTCATGTGAGTACAGTGCAGAGGTGCAGACACAGGGGTAGAGAGGTGTCGGTGTAAGCATTAGGACGAGCTTTGGCTCATGGGGGATTTCTTTTGTTTGTTTGTTTTACTGTTTTTGTTTGTTGTTTGCTGTCAGCCCCAAAGAAGATGAATGTAGAATAACAGACAAGAAAAAGGTTGTTTTTTTTGGTTGCTATCAAACCCTGGCACTGATGAGATGAATTTACATGAATAGCATCAGTTCAAATGCACAATGGCAACAAAACCAACTTCATCCTCCCATGCTTACACTTCTGACTGAGGGCAGGAGCGCCCTCAGGAGCCACACAGAGCCCCGTGCATATTTTTCACATTGAACTCCTGAACTAACAGAAGCACGTCTGTTTGTGTCGAGCACTTATTGAACTTTGCTGAGCTTCACAGAAAAAAAAAAGACGAGCAGCATCTCTCAGGCAATTGTGTGTCTTTGTTGCGCTCTCCGCCACCGAGCCGCCTCTCTTACTGCTCGTTCAGTCTGACACGAGGTACTGTAGCAGCATGCTGCCTCCTGGATGCTTTATAAAAAATTGTATTAGAACTTGTTTTTAATGAGCTGAAGAACAAATGTGTCGCTGCTTCCTGTAGAGTAAACGCGTGTCGTTATTTTATTGCAGCAGCTATAATAAAACAGTACATTGGCACTGTGTGGACACACAGCATGCATGCGTATACACACACACACGCACACGCACTAGAATCTCAGTTGGTGTGCTTAAAGACAAAGAACAGTATTTACACCAACGCTTACACAGTTGTTTACAGTGTTTATTAGACTAGTTGTCTATTGAATTACAGGCTGAAATGTTCGAGTACAGTGCTTTTGGATCTTGTACATTCGTTTTTGATGCAGCAGGAAAAAAGCAGATATGTGCTCCAGGCGACCTCTCTCATTTCGGGTTTTGCCTCTTATTTAAAAGAACGAGCAACAAAGCAAACCTATAGATAATGTATTTTAACGGCCGGCTCGCAGCTCCATTCCATGTTCATCGCATATTTTGTGGACTGTTTAAAAGATGCGCTAGAATATGTTTCATTTGTAATGAAAACAGAGGCCTATTTGTACATTCTGGTTAATGTTTTGGAAAACAGTTTTTATTTGTGTGTGTGTAGCGCAGTGGGGGTGTAACTGGAATCAGATGACCTTCTCCTGCTGCCGTCTGTCTCACGCTTGTGATGCTTTTGATGCTTTTTGTATTTGTTTTGGCACACAAAGACTTGAAATGATTAATGCTAATATATACATGGCATATGTATGAATTTATATATATTTAGTTGTTTCTTTACCATAAATTAATGTCAGCTGATCATGTATAGATGAGAGAAAGAGAGTCCTCTACAAAAGGCTATTTTTGAATATTTTGTTATGACTGCCCTGGACTCTTTCTGTTTCCTGTCTCGTGTTTTCCTCTCACACTCAGTTGTTGGTGCCATTTCTGATTGCTGCTGAGTTTTGGGATACGACTGCTCGTGAGTGTTGTGCAATTCTATTTGCGAGGTTGGGATCAACATAGCATCTGTTAAAAATCCCACTGTGCTTCAAGGTGGCTGTACAGCACATAAAGAAAGGCTCAGAAGTAATTTTCAATAAAAGCCCTTCTCATCTCGCAGCTCTCGCCTGCAGAAAGCTGAGGCCCTTGTGGGCCTCTCACTGTCGGCTTCATGTCACGAGATGAGTTCATTCAAACTCAGATTGGATGATTGAAGAGACTGTTTGGTGTTATTTTATCTGTTTGAGTTGAACAGAACACCTTGCTACGATGCCATGTCTAGCGTAGCCACTAATTTCTTCCTCCTGCCTCCTCCTCAGCCCTGTTGTCCCCTCAGTAGGACGTTAAACCTTCCTGTACTTGTCCAATAGATTTTACTTCATTGCTTTCGAGTGTTATGACTCACGAGCATCCACTGTGACCCTCACCCTACTTTCCTGTTCCTTTTTTAAATAATATTTAAAACAAATATTAATAATATAAATAATAGAAACTTTGAAACAGACTGAATAAGAAACTGACAGTTCCTCTTTTTTGCACAACCCTTATCCTCATATTCCGAACCACAAATCAGTGTTAACATTCCTCATAGATTTTACAATAATAGCTTTTCATATACTTTCCGCATTCTTTCCAAGAATGTTGTTTCCTAGTGAAGGAATAAAGCAGTTTGTTTTATTTTCAATTCATTTGCATCTTCTTCTTTTTTCGAGCAGAGATAATTTTCCCCCCACTCTACATACAGTTGTTTTCATGGGGGTTCTGGCAGTGAGCAGCTCTTGAGCTCTTGGCACTGTGAACACAACTTCTCAGTGTTTATAATGGCATAAACTGGAGAAGACAAGTTTCACAGTTCAATGAAAACGTCCCTTCTGCTTGATTGTAATTTAGCCCCCACGTCCTGCCGTGTTACCAGGAACGCAATAGGAGCGATGTGAATGTGTTTTATGTGGACATCTTGTGGCATTACAGCAGAAATGCACAACAATAAGCTTGAATGTGGTGAGTGTGCTGCACATTCTGTACAAAGAGGTATTAACTTGGTCTGTGGCTTAATGTTTGCTTTTGTCTCGCTTCCAATAGCTGTTGTAACTTATGTCTTTTAGAAAGACAACATCATTTTGCTCATACGCTTTTTATGTATTTTTTACAATATTGTATTGTAAATAGTTATATTTTTGTTTAAGAGAATGTTTAAAAATGAAAAATACCTTTTATTTCTCCAAGTCTACTGATATGAATAAAATGTTAGAGTAAAGATCTAGTGTCTTTATTGATGGTGTTGTTTTATTGCCCTCAACCAAACCAGGGTGTTTATTCCTGAATTTTGCTAATCTGGAAATCATGAAATACAACATACAAGCAGTTTAAAGAAAAGAATCTTTACCCCAGCTCCTAAAACTCCATTCCTATACAAGTTATTTATTATAGAAACAAGCAGCCATGCTGCCATCAGAAGTATGTTTTTCTCACCATCATGAGAAAAGTTATAATGGACAAATCTGTGGAGCTTTCACTAGTCAGGACAGAGGGAAGGATGGATGCAGAAAAATGTTGAGCAATTCTGAATGAAAACAATCTCCAGAGTGCTCAGGACCTCAGGTGGAGCTGAAGGTTTACATCTCAACAAGACAACGACCCGAAGCATACAGCCATGAAAACACAGGAAAACTGTGTGAAAGTCCTGGAGCCAGAGTCCACACCTGACCCCAGTGGAGCGTCTCTGGAGAGGCCAACTCAGACTAATACAGCCAATATTTCAAGTGTTTGTTTTTTTTTTACCAGCATTGTTGGTGCCTCACTACATTCTCATCTTTTTAACCAGTAAATCTCTTCTTGTGTTCAGGTGTCCTCAGTTTTGTCCTCAGCGTCTCACTGCCTTCTGCTGCGTCCAGCTATACATCAGATCAGATCAGCTTCACACTGCTCAAGGTCAGGTTCCTTTTATTACACATTAAAAGCTGAGTGTCACACAGAGGGGCAGGAAGTGATGCTGGTTGGTGTGTGTGTGTGTGTGTGTGTGTGTGTGTGTGTGTGTGTGTGTGTGTGTGTGTGTGTGTGTGTTTGCATCACTGACTGCAATGTACTGTACTATGTGGTGCACCTTCAGATGCATGTGTGCAGGGTGTTAATGTGTTTAGTATTTATATATGAAATTAAAAAGGTATAATACTCCCAACTATCTTGTCCATTAAAGTAACCAAACAGAAAGTCTGACTATTTGAAATGACATGTAGGAAAATTTTGCTCATTCTGACTTTGACACTCTCTGAGCTACTTCTTAAAAACATGGGGGTTTTTTGTTTGTTATTGTTTTTTCCTATGATAAAGTTAGAATGAAGTATAATGGAAACAGGTCAGGGTGGTGTGAGGGTGTGGTGAAAGGAGGGAGACATGTTAACCAGCACACTCAAAGAGTCGGCCTCTGCACTTCAGAGAGAATATTCCACAACAAAGTTCAGCTCCGAGTGGGATTCAGATGGAAACCAGTCATGGGAAATTACACACAGCTTCAATTATACATCAGAAAGTGTGAAGGAGTCCCACTGGATGACAGGAAATGTGGAAAAGCAGGAACGGTCAGGTCTTGTAATAAGTGCAGCCTGCATGCAAGTGTGTATACTGTGTGTGTTAGTGTGTGTGTGTGTGTGTTACACGTCTCCTCTGGTTTGACTTTGAAGCTGCGACTCTGTCAGGGGGAGAAGCCTAAAGCAGGAGGTGGGAAAATGGAGACTTTACCGCCTGAGGGTTGCACGAACATATGGGGACTAGCTTTTAGCATATTCCTTTCTAAATGAAAATTTGTGAAGCAAAACAGTTTGGAAAATATTCTACCACCTGTACAGTGCTGCCCTTGAGCATGTGAGTGTGTGAGTGTGCATTTGCTCTCACAAACAGTATATAAACAAGTTGCCTTTCCTGGTGTGTCGTTAACCTTTCACTTCCTGTTCTCTGTATGATCACGTAAAAAGTTTTGTCCTCAAGTATCTCAAACTTTTTTATGTATGTTGTCTTTCTGTCTCGTTATTGCAGCGTATGAATCAATGAAGTTAGTTATCTTGGAGTAACCTTAAGGGGTACTACGCCACAGATTTAGTACTGCTATAAAATTGGAGGACTTACAAGAGATATACAGTATATAAAAAGTAATGGTCAGAATCGAAGCAGCTCAGGTGTTCTGGTGCCCTGTGAGCACACTCACCATGCAGTACCTCTTGTCATTTCCTGTCACTTGTATACTTAAAGGTGCACTCTGGACTTTCCTTGTGTCTCACTGAATGCATAGTGTGTATCCTAGGCCTAGCAAACAGGTTGAATGCATTGCTTTCTAAGAAAACATTAGCAAAACTGAGTTCTAAATCCTGCACCACTTCATTTATGTTTAATAGCTAATAGCCTTTCCTCCTGGTCTTTGGTCTTCTACTTCTTCCTGTTATTCAGTGGTGGGTGGCGACCACTGTCAAGGTGCGTTTCCGTCACCTACTATGCTAGAGTGTTGACTAGTGTTATCTTCCCCCTTGTTAAACATAAACAAACTCGCCATTAAAATCTGTTTATCAAACCAGTTTCTCTCAAAAATTCCAATAATTTACTTGCTTCCCACATTCACGACTGAGCAAATTCTTAAGATTCAGCACTTCTGCTCTGCTCCCAGAAGTACATAAGTGTAAATAAGTGTTTATTCCATTCAATATTTGCAGTCTTCAAGCCTAATGTCTGGGTTATGTCACTTAAGTAATTTATTGAGACTTAGCAAAGCTAAGCTAACTTTTCATATGGTCTGTTGCACTCTCTGTGAGTTCCCTTTTAACAGATCACCTAGTACTGTACCAGTATTGATTTAGCAAATTCACATACAGTATCTGCGAGTTGTTTTTCCTCTCACTTCTTATGCATTTCATGTCTCAGTGCGTTTAAATCAACCAAATGTTGCAAACTACCTGTGCGTTTTATGCTAGAAGACATAATGTTTTTGTGTTTTGTGTGAAGAGGTTGTATTAGGTGAGGGACAATGTGACTCTAAGTTTTACCCACCCTTTCTGTCCAAGTCCAAGGCCAGACAGTGATCAACAGCAGTGTCTGTAGAGAGGTTCAGTTCATCTTCTTGTCCTGAATCTGTTCACATGAGGTCTCTTCAGCCATTTTTCACAAAGCCTGGGGTACAGTACAGTCACATTAAGGATCTTTGGAGTTGCCAGAAAACTTGACTAATTCAAAGTAAATGGACAGCACTTTCTGCTCAGTTACCTGTTTTACTGTAATTTAAGTTCCCTTGAAGATTCTGGTTAATTAGCAGCTTCTCCTGTTGATCAGGTTTCACATCTCATCTTGAAAATGTCAACAAGGTCTCACAGCAGAAGCTTTGTATAAAGTTTTTGAGAAATTGGCACTTCTCCTGTTAGCTTGTTAACAATGTTTGTGCAAGCAAGCCCAACGCAAAAGTATATTTAAACTATTCCAGTATTTAACACTTACACTTGTGGGAGTAATGTGTAGGAAATGTTTCAAATACTGTAGTTTTGATAACAGGAAGGTTACAGGGTACAAATAGAAAACAGAAACATTGAATTGAAGATGTTTTGGGATGTTTGTGTTCAGTTTGTTTCCAGGTTTATCCCTATTTTTCAAAGTATTGATTACTTGGATAGTTTGAGTTTGCAGGTAGTCACAACAGAGGAGCAACAGAAAAATCAAAGGCAAAGATGTTGCTGCTGAAAATGTGAAAGTGAAAATGTGCCATTTGTTGTGCTGCATATAAATGTTCTTTCTATAAATTATCTTCAACTCCCAACTCTGCCTCTCTGGACCATCTGAGGGCCACGGAGTCACGTGTTGAGGGGACACCCTCCGGGGTCACTCTTGTAATTTGTCACCCGACCTCAAGGTTTCCTCCAGCTCGTAAAGAGGTTGAGGTCAGCGTCCTTGTATCTCACTGTCCTCAGCAATGTCAGCAGTGCAGCCCAGATTAATGACCTGCCAAGCCCACAAAATGTAACCGAGTGTTTAAAAGCCCACAAGTCATCCTTCAAACTCCTGCTTTCATGCACTTTAGTGTCACTGTGCTTGTCAGTGAATCCCACTTCCTAAACATGTTTAACTTTGTCATGCATAGCTTCACAGTGACAGGGGCATCTGCTAATTATTATAAGGCTGTCACTGTGTTCTGTTCATATATTTTAACTATAACTCCATTTAATTTAACAATCAAACCATTCTGCTTTTTCCTTTTTACTGCATCGGTTCAACAGATAACAGAAAAATCTGCAAACACAGGAGACTCTCTTGATGGGGAACAAATATCATTTGGGAGACTTGTTCAAGTGGTGGACATCTTTCTGATCAAATCTTTGTTTTAAAACTTCAGCTGTGCTGTTTCAGAGTCATATTGATACCCAAAATCTATTTAAAATTCATCTTTATCTCATTTCAGACATTTGGAAATAATCTCTGAGTTTCTGGCAGTCCTCTACCAAGCTGCAACCCCACTAACACAAATCAATCACTATAATTTCACTTAAGAAGAGGCGTTTCCACATATCTCATTTGGACTTCCCTGTCAAATAAACAAGACTGAGAATTTGCTCTGTTGCAGCTCCACTGACAGCCACAAGGAGGCAGTGCTGCATTGTGGGAAACTGCCTGCTGAAAGGCTCAGGCTCTGTGTAGGACCCTGTACCTACTGGCATTAGGCAAGATTAGTGACAGAAGATTATTTGGAGAGCACCTTTTCCCCCCAGACACAGGCTGTCCTAGTAGGTGAAAATTACTCATGTGTTGTTTGTGTTAAAGCAACACAATCCTGGCAATCCTGTGTAATGATTATATCTTTCTCTATTGTTTTTGCCCTGTGTGCAAAGATCCCCTCTCATCCCTCAACTATGAAATATTAGTTCCTAAAGGAGGAACACTTGTCACTCCTCCATACTGATATTTAATTGTTGTTTTTATGTGTAATTGCCTCAGTTTGTGTGTGTGTACGTCTGCTATAGTTGTGTGGGTAAATCTTATTTCGATACCATTGGTTAAGATTTGTTTTAGGGTTCAGGGTATAATTAGGTTAAGGCTATGGTTAGGTGTTAGGGCTGGGGTTAGACATTTAGCTGTGATGGTTACAGTTATGGTAAGGAGGCTACAGATTGCATTATGGCAGTGTGTCTTCACAATTATAGAAGGGCAAGCGTGTGTGTGTGAGGGAGAGAGAGAAATCAGTGTAATCTATCCTCCCCAACTGTAAAAGAAGCAGTTGTGGCTGCACATAAGGGCCTCATCATCATCAAACACCGTTATCATCATCTGTATATCATTATCTTAGTCAGAACAATGAGATGTCTGGGATGAACAGACCCTCTGTTCCCCTTCTGTATATAAATGTAACTGTTCAGTCTCTGATCTGGATTTAAAACCTAGAAAGTCACATTTAAATTTATAAATAAACCCGAGTCTAAAGATGCACAGGTGCACATACACGCACACACAGACACACACACACACACACACACGCACACACACACACACAGTACACTGTACTGGGACGTTAGCTGCAGTTTATATTCTCATTTGTCCTTCTTACTGTAAGCAAGGTTGGCAAAGGATCACTCCAAAATGTGTGTTTGCGTGTGGAGGAGGAGGAGAACCTTTCTTCTACTTTTCAGCTCTGCCTTTCTGCCTTCACAGAAACTATTGTCTGGGGAGAAAGGGAAGAGGAACAGAGAGAAACAGAAGGAGCAGCAGCAGAGAGAGAAAGTGAGAAGAGGAAGGAAGCGAGAGGCCGGGAGTGAAAGCCTAAATACCCCCTACTGAGAAAACTGGGAAAGAGCTGCAGAGTAATGGATGACCGAGGTGATGGGGGTGGGGGGGGCGCGTAGTGGGAGGCCCCTCCTTTGAACTACAGGTCAAGAGAAATACAGAGGGAGAGATGGAGGAGTGCAGGCATCTTAGAACAGATCAGAATGCAGCAGAGCAAAGTAAAGACAGACGGATCACAAAACAGTCTCTACTTCTAAAAGTAGTGATGAAAAAGAAGACATTTCTGCAACGGCAGCAAAACCAGAGTAGAGGATGAAGGTGAAGGTCTGACCTGCTTGTGTGCCTCTGGGCTGCTGCCAGGGCTTTGATCCTGCACTTTATTTAACAACACTGTAGGAGAACTTCCCAGTCTGGTGCACATGATTTTAAAGGGCCATTCTGCAATTTATTTGACATGTGAATTATTACTCACACAGATTTATGAGAAGTTGGACTTGACCTGTGTCTCATTTTACATTTCCTGTGGCATTTTGATTCAGAATGCAGCAGGACTTGCCCGAAGCTGCATCATCTTCATCTCTCCCCAGGTTTCTTGATGCTTCTTACAACTGTCACATGGGCAAAAAATGAATCTAAAATTTAAAAATAAAATGAAAGAAAACTGATTTGGGATCTTCACCACTACTGTTCAGGACTCTTCTAGAATCTGCAGCAGATCTGTGGCTGTGTCATGGGATCTTTCTTGGTAAACAGGTCACATTGTGCAAAAACTGTTTAGTAATGCCGTCACAGCTTGTACAGCTCTTAAGAGAGGTGCAAAATCCATCATATTTCTCTCCAGCACCAGGCTGCTCAGATCACTTTGGGTTGATTTTTAAGAGTTTGGCCATTTCTTTGAAGTCAGCAAATTGATTCTTGAGCTGCACTGCAAAAAACATCAGGGATGTCAACACATACCTCAGCTTTAAAGCAAATTCTACTCTCCTGGACTGGTCCATCCTCTCTGTCCTTATTGAAAGAAACCCCTCCTCTCTCTGGCTCTGATTCACCTCAGTAAACCCTGTGATCTGCTGTCCATTATTCACCACAGTGTCTGAGCTGGTTGATCTGGGTCATAAAGCCTGCTGGAGATCTTAGGGTGAAGTGTGCACATTATTAAGTAAAGCCGAATAAGGTAACACTACAGGTCAGCCCAGGGTCGGACCCGGAGCCTTCTTGCTGTGACGTGACAGCGCTAACCGCTGTGCTGCCCCTGTTGTGTTTGAGCTCCATCTTATCCTCCTGTTTCTCAGTTGGTGTGTCTGTGTGGTTAAAAGGCAGTGCACACTCTCTAATGTACAAAACCACCTCTGCACTACTCTGAATACACAGCATTTATTTGCACAAGATTCCGACAGTTACTGCAGTAGAGATTTTGTTTTTCATTGAGTTACAGTGATGTTAAGTGATCACACATCAAAAGCTTTGTTTTTATAAGATTAACTTCGACACAAACGTCTTTAGTGAGCACACAAATCGACAAGAGCCTTTTCCCTCTGCCACTGGGAAATGCTTGTGGTTTTTCAGTGTTCTCTGCTGTTGTCTGTTTCTATTAATGACAGAGAAATGTGTTGTTTCTTGTTATCTTTAGTCCAGAAAGGGAAAGAAAAAAAGATGTTGGCTAAGTTTATGCTGTAGTGCGCTCAGTGCCTCCCTGAAAAGAGTCTCAGCAGTCTCATTCTAGTTGCTGAGGATTTTGAGATAGCTATCCAGATTTACATGGTGCTGCTGAAAAACTAATTAAAGAGCAGTAACTAACAAGTAGTCTGTTCATTTGTCACGTTCTCCTCTTGTCTGTATTATTAAGCAACGCCCAGACTCAGTCAGCCTCACAACAAACGTTGGCTTTTACATGTATGTAAGTCATAAATGTTTATTGTATGTTCAAAAATAAATTATGTTGATCTGCAATTTTTAAAGTATGTGTTTGATTTGGGTTTTTTTTCTGGTAAAAGAGAAAACACCGTACTGTACAAATGTTATTTTCAAGCCTTGTGACATTTGAAAATTCCAACAATTTGCTAACAAAACATAACTGTTCACATTACCTGAGTTAGTGTACAACCTTTCATGTACATCCTGCGTTAACCCCTGGCTGAGATAGAAATAAAAACACCTGAATGTACCTTTTAACCTGTCGATGGCCCCGCCCACTTCCAACAGGTGTTGACATGCTGCTTGTTAGCAAACTCTTCTGGTTGTTAGCCTTTTGCTTGAGACAGGAAAAGGAATAAGGAGAAACTGCAGCAGTTAAATGGGTGAAATCACTGACCAGGACACATTAAACTGTACTACAAGCCGCAGACACATGACAACATAAACAGGAGGAGAAAGGCTTCGTGGTCGCTGACAGTGTCGGCCTGAGACGTCGGGTTACCGTCCACCTGCTGTTGGCACCGTGAAGACTTTCACCTGAGATGTTGACTCCACATAAATACTGTAAGTACGAGCTGCTTGTGAAAACATCCTTATCTGGAGTTGCTGTGTTGGCTCTGGTTTCATTTGCGTGCTTGGCGACGCATGTGAGTTCAGGTTACCTGTCGACAGGTTATGTTTCCTTCATGACCATGTTAACATGTTAGGATGAGGACTTTTGTGGGCTGATGGGTTTATCTTCTTGTTCTGGTATGTTTGTGAGTGTTTCTCTCGGTTCTTGGGGATGTAAACATCAATTTACAATGACCCATTCTCATACTTGGTCAAAGTGGTGAAATGTAAGTAAGCATACTGTACTTAAATGCAAATTTTAAGTATTTCTACCTGTATTTGTGCAGTCTCCCAGCTTTTCAAATGTGAATATTTGCTCCTTCCATTTTTTTTTTCTGTCATACTGAACTCAGAATCTTTGTGTTTTTGACTGTTGGTTAGATGACCTAAGATATATGAAGCTGTTAAAGGATGAGGCTGGTCATTTGCAGAGACTAAAACCAACAGTGAATTGATTAATTTCTCTGTCTCCAACGTGGATCGGCTTATTCATCTGTGCTGTAAACACATCAGTGAAACACACTGCTGCACTGGGTGACATGTTTCTTCATTATGAAACATCAGCCTTGGATATTTGTTACAAATATCTGCTTCAGAGGCTTTGAACTGCTCCAAGTTCGAAGCGGGCTGTAAAGAAATCAGCGATTCTTGTTTAGTTCAGATGAATGTGAGCCACCAACACAAAACAATCGGAAGTGAGTGCTGAGTCCTGTAATGTGAACAGAGTGTAGCTTTAGTAGACTCATAACAACAGGGGTCCGTCTCTGTGTCTGTTGATGTTTTGGCCAGTATGTTGTTGAAGGTCACTCCCCAGTCCCTACTGTGGTTACAGGATGTCACAGGGTCAGGGATGTTCCCTGAGAATGTACTTAGTTTTTCTGTCCACGTGTACTTTATAACATTTTTGTCCATTATTATGATTGAGCAGAAATGTGTTGACTCTTTCAGCACTCCTTCAGATGTGACTCCTTCCTTTCATTACAACATGTGGCCAGTTTAACAGAAGCTGTATATATTGTGAGGTAAAACCTGTGATGCATCTTTTTACCCAGTTCCTCTAAAAGCTTCCCAGATTTAATTGCAGAGTAGGTTTTTCTTCACCGTGAACCAGAAATAGGAGATGTGGCACGCTTTAATTCAGGTTTAACCACAAAAGTTCAGTCCTTTCTGTAAAATTTAATGGTGACATCTTGGTGCTATTAGCTGCAGAAAGGCGCCTACAATAAGACTTTACTTACTATACATAATATTCTGAAAGTCAGTTTTTTTTTTTTATCCTTTTCACAGCTGCTTTTCTCTCTCCCTGAATAAATGTTATAATGTTAGTGTTTTTTTTTTTTTTTTTGGAGGATTGAGAGATGACTACAGTGCCTGGAGGCAAGTATTTCAACTTACAAGTCTGTCTGTGTTTTCAAACCAGCTTTCATGTGACTTAGAAGAGGACACCCACATGTATGCACATGCCCATGCCCACACGCTCAGTGGAGCTGGTAGACTTCAACCCTAGTTTTCAAAACCGCTCTGCTTTGACTGGACCTCCTAGAGATCCACAGTGGATGTTAGGATGGGGGTGTGTGCAGTGCATCTGAAATGTGTGTGTATCTTACTTAATCTGAGTCAAACACGCTTGGCTCGCCAGGAAAGAGTTATGTTTTCAGCCAAACTGGGCCAGAGTTGTTAAGATGCACAGTGCATCTCTGGCATCCCTTAGATGTTGCCTTTCATTAGCAGGGAGGCTGTGACATCTTCAGTGTGATGCTTAGACTCAAACCACCCATGTGTTTGTGTGCAAGACAGTTGTTTTCTGTCTGTGTATGCATTTATTTGTATCTCTCTGTGAACCTGCACTTCCTATAGTATCTCCTGTGCATTTGTGTGGCTTTGTGTGTAAGCAGCAGTGAATCAGCTATCAGTTAGTATGCACTGTAGATCCAGATTACCGTTGTGACTGATGTCACTGTGTACACACTGGATCTTAAAGCTGTCCACCAAAATGGATCAACCATTCCCTCGACTACGTTTCCTCCTCACCAACTTGTCCACCCCCCCACCTTTTTTATCCTCCCTCCCAGTCCTTGTTTAACTCTTTCCTGCTTCAGATCATCTTTGATCAAATAACCTTTTCAAAGCTTTTATACAGTTAGTCATACAGAAAATGCCAAAGATATTTACTAAACCGAACAATCAAATTAATTCATTGAAATTAAAAGTTTTTTTAGTTTTGTGCTCCCTTGAAGCTAATGTGGTTGTGTTCGAGTTCAGATTTATTCTTGCCTTCCTTTTCTTTGTTGCTGGTGAGGTGAGATGGGGTGGCCAGGCTAGGGCACAGACTTGGAGAGGGGTGGCACATTTGAAATGCATATGAAAAGGTTATTAAGTATCAAATTGCTTATTTGTGTATAAATGAGACACACAGAACTTTCTTTAGCTAACTGCTGCACAGTGGTTCTTCCTCCAGTGAGGCAAATCATGCCACATAGTCCACAGCACATTTGGAGAATTTAATGCAAATATCATGCATGATAATAAAATAAAACAAATTTCATAAGTATCAGTCATAAAGCACCAGGAAAAAATTCCTAGATTGATATCGGTGATTTTGATTTATTTTTACAACATGAAGCCCTTGTTTGTTAAATAGATTAGAAATATCAGCAGCACAGCGATAGCAAGCAACTGTTGTCAGTGCATGAGAACATGGCACAGTTGCAAATACACAACGAGGAAACAGGGTGACGTGTTAAAGGCTCGACGTTTTCTAAACCGTGCTATTCGTGCACGCATCTCCCTTTTTCACCATTCTTGTGTGTCTGTGTGTTTGCATGCTTGTATGTGACACCTCAGAAGGGCAAGTGGAGGTGAATGATCACCTTGTCCTGCTCTGTTTAATTGGATGGAGACTGTATGCCTGTGGCTAGGACAGCTCTGTACCAGCACACACATTGCCCATCACTGACCCGTGTATAGCATTCAGCCATTTGGATTCATTTCTACAGCAGCCCTTTTCCCTCAGAGGGACAAAGGCTGTTGATCTGCCTAAGGGCACATATAATTTTGAACAGTGTGAAGTCTCTCATGCTCTTGGTGATCCAGCTCTCTTCTCTAGATGTCTGTCAGTCCTTAACTCCTCCACCATCACTTTATACTTTTCTTTGTCTCCTCAAATTGCAAGTATTTCAACATTAAACCACTGTGGTGCAGAGGAATAAATGGTAAAGGACAGTGTTCAATAGTGGTTGCATATGAGGAGTGTTTATGTTGTTCTCTGTCAGATGTGAAAGGGTTCGTGAACCTTCCTCTGGCCGTCCGCCGACTTCTGTTCAGTCCATTGCGTTGGCATAATTTAAGGTTAATAGGTTAAACAAGTAAAATGTTTTTGTTTTAAAATAAGAAGGTTAGACTAGAAAGAAATTGTTCGCCAATGAAAATGCAAATTTAGATGTAGAGTTAATTTACTTGTCATCCTGTGGGAGTTTTGTTCGTGGGTCTTTGGCTACTTGTTGGGGCATGGACAAATTGCCAAAAGATACTGTATCTCAGAGGTGTGTTTATGGGGACTTGAATTATAGGGGTGTGTGTGTGTGTGTGTGTGTGTGTGTGTGTGTGTGTGTGCACGCATTCTTTCCACTGCTAGATATGAGTGGCTGTGTGTGTGAGTGCTCATTACCTGTTAAATTACCCAGGGTTCTGTCTGAGCTGCTGCCTTGACCCAGTGGTAGATGAAGGAACCCAGACTAGAGGCTGAAGTCCTGCACCACACTGGAGGACTTGACTTGATTCTATGTCCAATTCTGACTCTTCCTTGAGATTTTAATCAATTTAATGTCAGCCACTGTTCGAACTATTCAATTGTTTTTAATATTTAATCTGGGGATGTTTTTCAACACCTTGCTTTAGATTATTGCAGAACTTTGCTGACAACTGAGCGAGTTGAGGATTGACTCTGCCGCTCGGTGTCCGGCTTTGAAAGCTTTCCTGACCCTGTTTATGAGCTCCAGTCTAACATTTACCTCTATGATCTGCTGGTGCTCCTATCAGTCCTCAATTGGCACATCTCCTCCGTTTGCTGTTGTTATTTTCATCAGTTTTCTTTGCTCATAGAGTTTCTCTGACATTACGATCTGTGGGATTAAAGGTAGATTCTACTACTTCTCTACTGTTGCCAGGCATGAACTGACTCAGACTCATGATTGTTAAGGGTTTAAATCAAACGACCTGCAATAGATTAAGAGAGTTTCTAGAGTGTTGTATGTTCAGGTGCTTAGCTGATTTATCTGTCTAGCTGTGGTATTAAGTCTTTGCTTTGATGCATTTACTGAAGGTTTATTGAAATGTACAAATACAGTGTTGTTTTGTTGTCCATAGGATGTCATGAGTTAACATCTCTGCACTGTACTGACTCTCTTGTCTGCTGATGGAAGGTCTTGTGTGACATTTCCAAGCAATCAATATTTTGTTTGTGTGTGACATTTGCAAGCAGTTCATAATTTGGTTTGGCTGCCAATTTAATGGTTTTGACCAGAGTGTACAAAAGAAGGTTGAACCAGTGATCCAGACTGTAAAAATTTCCAGATGACTTGCGCTGATTACACACTATATATAGATGCACTTCTGCTTGTTTCCAACAAATCTTTGCAGCCTGTTCAGATGGAGCCATAAAGCAAATACCAAATATCCATGGGGCTGTGGAAACGGAAATTAATCCATGACCTCGAGTTGGAGAGATTTGTCAGGATTGTGGTGTACTGCAGGAGCCTGTCAGTCTTGTCAAAGAGTTATTTAGCAGTACACAGGATCACATCACTGTCAGTTCCGTTTCTCTGTCTGGAGAGGTCTTTATTAGAAACCTTAGAAACCATTTCATGAAATCTTGGGTCGTGTGTTCTCGTTGTTTTTGTCCCATCCACACTATGCTTATAGTGATACTGACCGGTGCTCGAAGTGAGAGGAAA